TAATTCCACCTTGTTTTGTTAAACTAGGTTTTTAATGAGACAGTTATTGTGCAAATAGGTATCAAAGCGGGATTGTTGTAAAACTGTGAAATAATTGTTGATGTCTAGTTGATCTTATCAAAATACTTAGATTGGTTGGTCATGAGGTACCTGCATCAGTCTTGCCACATGTCTTCATTATATAGGTTAGGGGAGAGGTTATGATGTCACCCAATCAAATCATAATGATATTTTTTAATCACGACAGATCTTTTGATTAAGAAATTGTCACTAAACCTTGATTAAGAAATCTATGCCAACTAGGGGTGTCCAAAAGTCTCGAATCGAATCGGACCGAACCGAACCCGAACCGAACTGAACCGAGCGGTTCTTCATAAATTAAATACCCGAACGGGTACCCGAATCAAGAACCGATGGGTTTGTGTCGGGTCTCGGGTCTAGACCAAGAACCGAAGAATCGAATAAGAACCGAAACTAAATAATTTTTTTTAATATTGAATTAATTAAATTATTTTATTTTTTTCTATACAAATTAGTAAATTAATTGAATAAATTAGATTATTTCATAATTTTAATTTTAAAACCCAAATCATTTTAAAATCTATTAGCCCATTTTAATTTGAAGCAAATGAATATACTTTATGTAGTTTTGCTGTAATATTAATATCTATTTTTTGGTATTTGTATGCATTGAATTAATCTTATTGGACGACTAGTTTTGTATATGTTTTTGAATTGTGCTACGTTAATTTGTAAAAATTACGAATGAAATGTCATTAATTGTATTTATGTAGTGTTACTGAAAATATTAAAAAATGTAATTATGATACGGAACCGAACCGACCCAAACCGAACCGAAAGGAATCGAACCCGAACGGTTCCATAATTATATTTGGACCCGACGGGTCCATTTATTAAATACCCGAAAGTTTTGGATCGGTTCGGGTCTCTTTAGAATCGAACCGAATCGACTCACGGACAGCCCTAATGCCAACAATAGATATGATTTATGAAAGAATTCTATAAATTTTGATATTTTTGAAATTTTACTCTTAATGTACTATGGTTATGAACTTTTTTCAATTCTTTTTTTCTTTTTTGGCCTCGTAAGAATTGGCCCAGAATAGTCCAACTCTACATTAAGGGTGCGTTTGATTACAATGATGGAAAATAGGTGGAAAGAAAATGTTTTATAGGGAAAAGATTTGCCTANAAAAAAAAATTGTTTCCTAAAAAATCATTTTTTTTAATCAAAATTTAGTGTTTATTTGACTTTGTTTTACATGAAAATTGTACATTAAAGTGATTTTTTTTTTTACAATTGGCTATGACATTTATTTCCATTGCTAAAAAAAATGGTTAGCTACCTGGAAAACAGTTTTCCCACAAAAAAAGGTGGGAAAACATTTTCACTCAAAAAGAAGAAAACAGGCACGTGGACTTGGAGGTTGGAAAATTTTTGTCCTGCCAAATCCAAGAAGAAGGAAATTCTTTTCCAAATTCCATGGAAAATTAGACTTATCAAACATGGCCTAATTAAAAAAGCTTACCCAATTGAAAATCCACACTCAAATCAATATTCTCACTAATTTGAAAGTTAGAACACCATAAACTCGATTTCAAAGTTCAGATCGCCCATCCTCAAGGACGGATCCTGAGAATGGCTGCCCAAGCCTGAATTGGCAAAACAATAGTTTCATGTTTTATTTGCAACCCAATTGACAATATTATTCTCGTTTCATTAGTGCAAGTATCATTGTCATATTTACGTGCATAAGTTTTGAAAAAGATTTTTGGCCTTTGATTATAATATAAATATTTTGCATATTAAATTTTGATTATAGTTATAGATTTAATTCTGAAGAAAAATATTTGAATGCATGCTACCCTTCCAAGGTCAACCTTTAAAAAGTTCGATTCATATTAAAAATCTCAAGCGAGGCCTTATCCAAGTATATTGCGTTATTATAAAATTTTCTGGTGGCACACATTTGAACAGTGATATAAATACTCTATACATATATAACACTATTAAAAATCTTGAAAAAAACCTATTAGTACCCTCCTTTCTCCTTTACACATACTATTAGGATGATAGGCTAAATTTGAAAACTATGTTTTGGTAACATTTAACTCATGTTTGCTTTCCCTTCTTTCAAAAAAAAAAATTTCTACCTGCTTATTTTCAACCACACATTCACACAATAAAATATTTCATACGTGAACTCAAAATTTTTTATCAAAGCATGTTTATTGTTGAAAATTTTAGGGAAAACACAATAAAATATTTTATACTTTCTTGTTTTAAATAGTTTCAATCTTACTATGTAAAAGTTTACTGTTCTGAAGCAAGAATAGTAGTTCCCTTATTTATTGCCCTCTATGCTCATGGAATTATGATGCTTAAACTCTTTATTCGGCTTCGAGGTTGCATCAAGGATATAAGATGATGTGATATAGATGTGAGGCTTCGGTGAACTAACTTGATTGGGAGCTTACAGTTTCATGTTCTCATCGTTTTTGGCCATTCTATCGGTGACAGATCTTAACCGTGCTCTATCAAACTAATTCGCTGGCAAGTAGATCTTCTTGTTAGAATTCTTATGTGAAAGAATTTATGTCACAAAACCAAATCATGTGTACTTTAGCTGCAGAGCCATGTCTATTGTTATACGTTATGTGGATAAGATGGGACATGTGGTTGAACGTTTTATTGGAATTGAACATGTTTCCAATACTACAACTCTATCACTCAAAGCGGCTATGGATAAATTATTTTCAAGATATGGCTTGAGTATAACTAGATTGAGAGGTCAAGGTTATGATGAGTTGAGTAATATGCAAAGTGAGTTCAATGGTCTCAAAACACTTATTTTGAAAGAGAANTATATATATATATATATATATATATATATATATATATATATATATATATATATATATATATATATATATATATATATATATATATATATATATATATATATATATATATATATATATATATATATATATATATATATATATATATATATATATATATATATATATATATATATATATATATATATATATATATATATATATATATATATATATATATATATATATATATATATATATATATATATATATATATATATATATATATATATATATATATATATATATATATATATATATATATATATATATATATATATATATATATATATATATATATATATATATATATATATATATATATATATATATATATATATATATATATATATATATATATATATATATATATATATATATATATATATATATATATATATATATATATATATATATATATATATATATATATATATATATATATATATATATATATATATATATATATATATATATATATATATATATATATATATATATATATATATATATATATATATATATATATATATATATATATATATATATATATATATATATATATATATATATATATATATATATATATATATATATATATATATATATATATATATATATATATATATATATATATATATATATATATATATATATATATATATATATATATATATATATATATATATATATATATATATATATATATATATATATATATATATATATATATATATATATATATATATATATATATATATATATATATATATATATATATATATATATATATATATATATATATATATATATATATATATATATATATATATATATATATATATATATATATATATATATATATATATATATATATATATATATATATATATATATATATATATATATATATATATATATATATATATATATATATATATATATATATATATATATATATATATATATATATATATATATATATATATATATATATATATATATATATATATATATATATATATATATATATATATATATATATATATATATATATATATATATATATATATATATATATATATATATATATATATATATATATATATATATATATATATATATATATATATATATATATATATATATATATATATATATATATATATATATATATATATATATATTATGGGTTAAACCACTTTGTTAGAAGATAATGTCAAAAGCAGTACCAGAATTCTAGATGACGGGATGTGATTTAACGAAAAAGATGAATGCGTTTTAAATGTAAATTCAAAATTTTTCCTAAAAAAAATTACCACCAAATAAGAACTTAAGCTTAGCCATACATTTTTTAGCTTAGCAAAACATGCTCCTGATAAAATATAATCAAGAAAAACATTGAGAGTAAGTACAAGTGTACAATTAGTCTTTCATCCTGTACTCTTGGAAGTATAACCTGCAATTTACCTCATTCACCAAGGTTCAGGACAGGGCAGGTGGGGGCCGCCAAGGATGCAGCTCATCTAAAAAAAAAATGTTATTCATCCTTAGTGGGGATGCATTCCCTGTCTATGTGGATGTAAACAATTGGTTAAATGATAGGTGAATGATTTATTTAATTTAACATATCATTTAATGTCACATTAACGCCACATAGATTGGAGATGCATCCCAGTGGGGATGAATAGCATTTCCCAAAAAAAACGTTGAGAGTCTTTCCAATTTGTACCAAAGTCAAGTAATTAATGAGCGTTTTCCACCCAATACACACGCAACGCGTTTTTGTGTTACTCACGTTTTTAGCGTTGATTACATAGGTCAACCTCATCAAACAATTGCATTAGCTAACTCGAAGAGCCTGAGAGTAGTGCTATTTAAGTGCAACTCAACAAAAAACAATGCCAGTAATTTCGGTCACTGTAATCAGACCCATTGCAATCCCTAACAGAATTACCCTACAATCTGAAAGATTTCATAGCTCGAACAATTTTTTTCGCAGAGAATTGTATTTTCGAGGGGACGTGATTTCCCGAAAATTTGGTTTCTGGGCTAACAAAACGCGGAATCCAAAAACCATGATAGATTCGATGAGAACCCCTGTGAGTACAAGTGAGAATGAGGTTCAATCTTTTGAACAGGAAGCTTTCATTGAAGGGCCCTCTGATTCTGGAGCTGTTGGGCTCGAAGGTACTCTCAATAGTTTGGTAAGTAAATTGTCAATTTGCGATGAATGTTTTAATATGTTCACTATCTGTATATAGTATGTTTTATTCAGCAGGTTTTTGATTTTATTTCTGTATTTGAATTGCGTGGTTATGTACAATAAAACTCATATTTAAACGTCAATGGAAAAGTGGAAAACGATTATTGTGATATGGATTGCTCTTGTGAAATATTTCTCAGGGGGCGTGTGTGGGTGTGGGGTTTTCTGGGTTCCCATACTTCCAGTTGAACTTTATGTGGAAATGGAGATCATGTATGTAATTTGGAAAGGAGAACGAGTTGATTGTCATTTCTATAGTCAAGATTTTGTTTCAATTGATTTCAGTTTTATAACTTGATATCTCTAAAAAAATGTTTAAACTGCTTAGTTTTATAATCTATGATAGAAAACTAAACTTGTTTGGTCTTCAAGAGTCTGTTTAGTTGCCCAATTTTGACAATGGGGAAGAAAAGGAAGGATTTGAAAAATGCTAGAAATTCTCTCAATGTGAATAACTTTATTTGGGAATTTATGCATCACTTTGTGATATTTCATTTAATTATTACTTGGAAAAATCAAGGCCTGAGTTGCTTGTCCAGAATAGAGGAATAGTTTTGATATTGGGATACGAACAATAGAAAATGCACATTTAGACCGTCAATTTTTAAAGGTCTAACTTTTTCACTCAATGTGTTACTTTTTGTAAGTTGAGTCTTTTATGGTGCTTTAAATTCAATACCAAAGTGAGACCACAGTAAGGGGTTGTGATTTGAAAAGAATTACAGGAGAGCTTAAAATCACTACATGTGTTTCTAAAGGGGTTGTGATTTGAAAAGAATGAATTTTTTAAAGTTTCCTACTCAAGAAAAATGATTAATGTGATTATATTATAAATCGTTGTGTAAATTTATTTTGTGGCTTGAGGATTTTTCAACAACAACGAAGGTTGTGTTATTGCAACTTCTTGAATGAAAAGTCCATGACCAATTTTATGAAAGATTGTTATTTCAGCCTTTAGAATTGTATGCGCTTTTCATTCCATTGTTATAGTTCACATTCTTTCCTTAAATTCATCCGTCTATTACCCTTCATGCAGAGTAAATGGCTTGTGGCAGTGCTTTTTGGTGCAATTGTACTGTGGAGGCATGATGCTGAATCATTGTGGGCCCTCATGGGTTCTGTGCTTAATGTTATACTCTCAATCACATTGAAGAAAGTACTAAAGCAAGAAAGACCTATTTCTACCTTAAGATCAGACCCGGGAATGCCATCTTCACATGCACAATCCATCTTCTATGCAGTTGCATTTGTCAATCTGTCAAGTAAACTTTTCCAACCATTCTTTATTTTAATTATATTTTTACGTATAGAAAGATGATGAGATATATCTCGCAAATATTGACTGTCATCAATTGTTGATGTCAACTTTAGACTTCTTTTATTCTCTAGTGCAGGTTACTCAGAAATTTCAGTGACTTCATGATAGTTCCTACCATGATAATCTTTTAACCATGTGAGACGTAATCGTAACATGTTTGTGCCATTGGAATATTTCAAAATTGTTTAGCTTTCTTTTATACTTATGGATTATTAGTTAGCATTGCACGAAAAAGGTAGTTGGTTAAATACCCGGCACGCTGCAGCTTCCTTCCCCCATCATGTACTTTGAAGAATCTGGCTTTATATAGTCGTGGAAAGTGGTTTTTATAATACATGTGGTTTAGTTGTTTTAAATTTTAAAATTAATTGCAGACTGCTGCTTAATTTTCTATATCATTCTTTCATTTGTGAGATAAATATTATTCCTCATGCAATCTTTCGATTCGTGATAATATGATGTCCTCATTCTTGTATTCTTCACTGCAGTGGCGGAGTGGTATGGGATAAATGGACTTACAGCAACTCTGAATGGGCTTGTGTTTATTCTTGGGTGTTATTTTGTAAGTATACAGCAGTTATACTGAAATCTGGGGAATTTCACATACTTGTGGTGCCTAAAGGATGAATATCACAGTACCTTTGAATCATCATGATAGGATTATGATTTCTATATCCACCAGGGATGCACCCGAGATTTTTTTAGTTGGGGTTTTTATTGGGACTTCATTTTTTAGCTGCTAGCTTTATGCACTAAAACTGATAGGCAAGTGGATGGAAGTAGTGTTAAGTTGAGTGGAATAAAAAATAAAATTTTCAGCCTGCTGAAAAGGAAAATGAATTTTATTATAAGGGCTTATTCATTAATGACTTCGAAACTTTGGAGAAATGATACACTTTCAAGACTTCAGCGAGCACTGCCCTTCCCTCTACCAAGAAATGTAAACCGCCATGGCCTGGTTTTGAGGTGGCCCATGCTGGGCCTATCTGTACCAAGATTTGCAATGGCATGTGATGAAGAAAGTTAAGTAATAAGCAATGTTGATCATTGAGAAAAATTAGAAACAGAATTCAAAGTCTGATTCTTATCAACTAGATTACTTACATTTGCTAAGACTTGCTATGCTTGCACCCTCAGCTCTTTGGTTTTAACTTGAGGCCCTTCAACAATATTAACATATCTTGCTTATGAGAAGTTTATTTACTGTCATTCTGTTCTCCTGTTATCTTTTCCTTATTTTTAGGTAGTATTGGGAGAAATTGAAAGTAGTTAAGGTCTGGGAACATATTCTCTATCATATTTTATTACCATTCATTAACATCAGACGCTTTTTGATTTTTGGGTGTTTTTGTTTGCAGTCATGGCTACGGGTTTCTCAGCAGCTTCATACAGCCAGCCAAGTAGTCGTGGGAGCTGTACTGGGATATGCTTTCTCCATTTTATGGTTCTGTTCATGGAAAGCTTTTGTACTAAAGGCATTTATATCCTATCTGTGGGTTAGAATTGTTGTTGTTCTGAGTGCTATTGGATTTGCTGTAGGATTTATTGGACATGTTTACCTGACCTGGCTTCGATATGAAAACTGAATGTATATTCTCAGAAGGTATTGTGACAACATTCACTCTCTTTTGCCCTACAGAATTCCATTTAATCTTGATGATAATTCACCATTAAAATTTATAACCGCTGTGTTCTTATTTGTAATGATTGTTGATCTGTCATTTCATCCCTTGGCTGCAAAATGAAGGTAGACGAAGGGAATCCCCACCCCACACCCAACAGGCAAAAAGGAACATGAACTCTTCGAACTCCTTCCATTCTTCAGACGGAAACTGACAGAAATAGAATCAAATCGATTCTAGAATATCTTTCTGAATATTTTTCAATGTCTTGACTATTCAAATCAATACAGTTCTTGAGTAATCAATGACTTTTAAGTGGAGAATAGTCGATCATAGTTTCAATTTAATGAATACGAGATCAAGAATGACTTTTTTAAGTGGAGAATATTCAAGAATTGTTTCAATTTAATGAAATACGAGGTTTTGTATAAGAAAAAATCAAATAAATAGTCATATTATCTGGCATTTAAAAAAAATAAAAATAAATAAATAAAATTTCAATAACTTCACCTGAAAATCATTGTCGTTTTATGATAACATTAATCGTAAAAAAATTTATATTTACTTGACTTGTTTCCAGATCTTCGTCTTCTCTGGGAGTAAAAAGCATACGGATGGAGTCTTTGTACTCTTCGTTTTCCCCCCCAGAATTTGGTAAGCTTTCAATAAGGAGATCCAAAAACATCTTAGGAATTAAGACACTGCGTACAAGCTTTTATCTAACTGATTCTCTGCATTATTAGAAGTAAGATCTTTCTGATGCGGGTCGAGTCCTCTAAAGGTCTGATCATCAGATGTAGAAATTCAAACATTTCATACCTTAATGTAAGCACCAATAAGGGTAGAATTTACCATAGAGCAACTCAACATATGCATCTGTTCGCCTGCTGAGCATGAAGAAGTACAAAAGCTATTTTGAAAATGATGGCTCCATCCTCAATCTACCAGTACTTTATGAGTGATGCGGATCCAAATTGGTTGAGCAGCTTAAAAACAAGACATTCACTCCAACAGTGTATCCTCTTTCAAGGAAAATGTCTTCATGCTTTGTCATGCCTTATTGCCACTGTACTAAAAACACCACCGAACTATGCCATCAATTTGACATTGATGAAAAGACGACTTAAATCTCCTTCCATTTTGTTTGCTTGACATCTGTTAAGCTGTATCATCTCGAAACAACATTTCCAATCAATTTTGATGATCATCCCTAATGATGAATTTGACCTAAAATAAACTTTGTTGACAGTCCGTAGATTGCAGTTCTTCAGTCTAAATATGACACCGAATCTTCCTTCCCATATAGCTGTGCGACTCTCCCACACTAGTCCAAATGGAAAAGAGTTGCCATTTATGCAACAGTTTTCATGTTGAAATATGCTGCTTTAAAAAAGTGCGGAAGTGACAATAATCATCTGTTAATCTTCTGCATCATACAGGAATAACACAACTTCCTGCACAGAAAGATCAGCTCTAAATGCTGCCAACTTCAAGATATCGTATATTTCTTCGCACTCTGGATGCGATCTATCACCAGCAACGACCGCAGAAATCTTCCTGCACAGCAAGATCTGCTCTAAATGCTGCCAACTTCAAGATATTGTATATTTCTTCGCACTCTGGATGTGATCTATCACCAGCAACGACCGCAGAAATCTGATTTTTGACCTTAATCCTAGACCAACCAGGTTCTTTGATAACACCTTTTGATCTCATCAGTTTCCTCATGTCTGCTGCTTCCTTCAACTTCCCTCTTGAAGAATAAATATTAGCCAAGGTTATATGGGTCCCAGCACAATTTGGATCCAGTTTAAGTATCTGCTCTGCGGCATGCTTTCCACATTCGATATCTTCATACTCTACTGGCTCTTAACAGAGTTGACCATACAACATTGTCCCATTCATATGTGTAAGACAATTAAGCAACGNGAATAAAAGAAGACATGAATATATTGCACAGGAATTAGGAGATTTTATTGCACCACAAATAATGAAGATGAAGAAATATTACAATGATCCTAAAAACTAGTACTCTATTTTCTCACACTATAAAATTATATAAAAGAGTCTAATATTTATAGGGAATACCCAGGGGACGTCCAACCCCTTCTAGTAGAGCTGCTTATAAAGTAGGATGCCAAAAAATCAAGTACAAAACAAAAAAGGAAATAAAAAAAAAAAAAGGAACAGACAACGTTGGGTGTTCTGCCATTTCTTCCCTTTTTTTTCATGTTGCTTTCTTCATCTTAAAATCATTTTTCAAGCCAAAATCTCAATAGGGCTTTCAAATAGAATAAGACTTGAATAAGACTCAAAATGCATTCCAAATTGAATTTCTCTTGACGTACACTTTAATTAGAATTATTTAATTGCTTCAACAAGTAATTCGGGTCACACCCAAATTCTAACAATTTTCACATTGACATGAATTTCACTGCAATGAACAAAGCTCCAAAATTTTCTTCGTCCGTAAGGAATGAACTGACTCTTCAACAATAACCAAAACTGATTTCTCCAACCAACAAAAAATACTCCACCACTTCCAATGAATTCAAGCAATACTATGCAGAATTATCTCAAATTCTCAAAAAATCATAATGATTTTTAAAATTCACAAAACTAGGCTGTAACACACCTTAAAATAGAATCAAACTCAAATGCTTTTAAAGAAGACCATTGGTGTACTATCGCAGGCACCCAAAAATAAAATATTAACTTCTAAAAATAAATGTAGCAGTGGAAGTAAGATTCGATCCCACGAAAAGTGATTAATCTAATTTTATGTTATGTAAACGATGATACGCAAACAATTTTAAATAAATCAACTAATGAATAACTCAAATTAAAATAACGAAAGTAATCAAAAGAACTAACATTGGTATAAGTCTACATCCATCATTGAAATTTCACAACTGATCATAGATGTAAATATATATTAATTCTCATTTTGAATATTCACCGTTGAAATTATTTTCCTATTTCTCCTTAATTGTAGTTAATTAGAAAATAAGTGATCCAATTAACCCTACTTACTAAACAACCCAAGACAAGGGCTATGGATTTAATCTATTAAACGTCTTAATAATTAGAGAAATCGATGAAACTAAATAACACAATCACAAGCGGTTGTATTTAATCTAGTCAAACGTTCTTCCCAAAATTTAATAATTTCTAACGCAGCAAATTAAACCCTAATTGCTTCATAAATTAAAGAGATCAAATAATTATATATTTGATATTTAACTTAGCATAGATTGCAAAAAATAATAAACTAGTAGACCTACTAACAAGTAAACGCAACAATTATGAACATAAGTGCAAAAGAACATTCAATACTCAAAACATGAATTAAACAATGAAAATAAGTTAGATCTCACAGTTTTATTGGTTCCAAGGCTTCAATTTCTTTCGACCAAGTACAAAAGTTTAGCCACACATGAAAATTCTAGCACAAAACAAGAGAGAAAAAGGTATGGGGGTGTGTGTACGTTTTCTGGACAGTTTTAGGATTTACAAAACGTTTTGAAATTTGTTTCCATAAGTATTTGAGTCAAATTCAGAAATCAAAATTTTTGCTTCGGAAGTATACTATGCGACCACATAGTACAGATGCACGCGGTCCCATATTTCATTTGAAACTCGACCATGATTTCTCTGGAACCATGTATGCAACCGCATAGTTGTTAATGCTAGCAAATGATCGAGATCGTTCTCCTAGAAATTCAATAGAGTGCCAATCCTTAACCTACGCAAAGTTCTCTATATTTCTTGATCGTACTGCAAATCACCTTGATTAGAAGATCGAGTTACGGTCATACACAATCAAGGAAACTCTAAAAAATCATGAAAAACAAACAAGGAAAAGCTAGAATAAAAGAAAAACGAATAAAAATTCTACGCTAAAATATGAAAAAATAATAAAATGCCTAAAAACCCTAGAAAACTATGGAATTTGACTTCGAAGGGGGTGGTTTGTACATCCAAACGATAGACAACTATTGCTCAGAACACCGTTTTCCTTCAAAATATAAAGGCTTAGTCCAATCAGAGTTAAAATTTTGTCGAAACCGCAAATATCGAAAATTAATGAATTTTTTTGAATGAAATAAACAAATAAGAAGGACATAAAGAAACTAAATCATTCCTCTGCAACGACGCCAAAATTTGGTGTACTATCGCAGGCACCTAAAAATAAAACATTTACCCCTAAAAACAAATGTAGTAGTGGAAGTAAGGATCGTTCTCATAGAGAGTGATTAGTCTAATTTTATGCTGTGTAAACAAGGATTGGGAGATTTTGATTATTTACAAACTATTTTAAAGAAATTAACTAATGAACAACTCAAATTAAAATATCGAAGACAATCAAAAGAACAAACTTTGGTCTAAGTTAATATCCACCGTCGGAAATTTACAACTGACCATCGATGCAAATATATATCAATTCACACTTTGAATAATCATAGTTGGAATTATTTTTCTATCTCTCCTTAATTATAGTTAATTAGAAAACAAGCGATCTCATTAACCCTAATTACTAAATAACCCAAGAAAAGCACTAAAGGTTTAATTTTATAACAGCCTTAAGAATCAGAGAGATCGATGAAGCTAAATAATACAAGCACAAGCGGTTGTATTTAATTTAATCAAACGCTTTTCCCAAGATTTAACAATTTCTGACGCAACAAACCATTAAATCTTAGTTGTTCATAAATTAAAGGGATCAAACAATTACGGATTTGATATTTAACTTAACTATAGATTGCAACAAATAATAAACTAGTAGGCTTCCTAGTAATTAAATGCAACAATCATGAAAATAAGTGCAAAAGAACATTGAATACTCAAAACATAAATTAAACAATGAAAATAAGTTAGATCTCACAGTTTTATTGGTTCCGAGACTTCAATTTCCTTCGACCAAGTATGAAAGTTTAGCCACATATGAAATTCTAAC